AAAGAAAGAAAGAAAGAAAGAAAGAAAGAAAGAAAGAAAGAAAGAAAGAAAGGAAAAGAAAAAGAAAAAAGACAATAGAGTAAGATGGGTGTGTGCATAGCAAGAAGTTCAGTGCATTTTTGACACATTCTCTTTTCAAGCACAAAGACACATGTCTTTATGTCATTAGTTAAAAACAGCAGCCATAGCATCTATGGGATCTAGTGATGTTTGGAAGTATAATATCTTCTGTAAGTTTATCAAGTTATGGAATAGCCTGCTGATAGTCTTCAGAGTATTACAAATGAATTCTCCCAAGGAGTAGACTTCTTGCAAGACTGTGAAGCAGGAAGAAGTCATTGGTAAGGAACAAAACACATGAATAGACAATGGGGAATTATTGTAAAAAATATCTTTAATGTTCTCTGTTAAAAAAATGATCAGCTTTTTAAAGATATTACAAGTTATTTTTACTTTATTTTTTAACAGCAAAGTAAAATTCTAACAGTTAAGCTGGATTTTTGCACTTTAAACTTTCAGAATAAACTGAGAAAACTATGGTAATACATGGCAAATTAAAGTCAGATACTCTGTTCCTGATTGAAGTGTACAAATCATGGAAACTCTGAATTTATCAAAGAAAAAATTTCAATTTTCTTTGCCCACAGTATCCTCTAAGGGGAATGTTTTCCTAAACTGAGTGATGATGACTAACAGTTCTACCTCCCATTAGAGGTAAACAATTTTGTTTTTTTTCTCCTGTTTTACTAAATAAACTACGTTACTTCCTTTTGTAGCTGTACAAGCCTGCAGTTCTCTACAGGATATCTGGGTAAAAGGGTGAGGTTCTTGGATTTCTTTTCATACATTAAAACACCTAACTTAAATATCTCTGTGAATTGAAATCGACGATGTGAATTTCTGCTGCTTCCATTGAAAATGTAATCCTGAATCTGCTAATATCTTCTGAAGTTCTGAAGGATATATTGTTATGAAGAATGGAGACTCCAGTGAGGTAATATCTATTTATAAGTTTAAGTGGTTAACGTGTTCACTGAAACTGCTGCATGCTTTGTGTAAAGAAATGTGGCTGTCTAGATAGAAAGCTCCTTTCTCTGCAACATGCCATTGATATATAAACCAGGAGACCAGAGTTAAACACTGTTTCTAACAAATATGTGTTAAAATTATAATAGTCATTGATTAAATGCATTTCTGTTAGTGTGTGCAGTTGGGGAAAAAACTTGAAATTTTAAATCCAGGGTTTTGTCAACCAAATTAAGCTGCATTCAAATGGTAAATACATTTAAATGCCTAAATCTTTTCATAAGATGAGATTTGACAGTTTCCTTTGGTTAGGACATTTTTCATGCATGCCTTTTGGGGTATGAAATGAGAACTTCAAATAGCACAAAAAGATTTTCATCCAGCCATAGAAGCTAGCACAGCTGTCAAATCTCATAGGGGCTGATTCTCAATTTACAATGAACATTTCCTTGGATGTATTTTTAATTTGAGAACATGGGAAATATTTCAGGAAGGGGCTCCAAGTGCTGTGCTGTCTTTGTTAGAAGGAATTCCTTCCATTTTCCTTATTTTAAATAATAAAACAGCCATTGCCCTTTAAAAAGTCCACTAATTTCACACATGGAGTTTGATTCTTAAGTATGCAATATTATTCAGAATAAGTAAAAATTATATAGGTCCTAGAGAAGTTAGTGCAAGTCACCTAAGATCTCCGTGAGATCTGGTAATACTGAAAGCTTCTCATGATGTGAGCAAATCAGTGTATTTTTTATACACTGAATTCTCCCAGGTTAGAGTTGGAGACACTAAACTCCCTTTTAGTAAAAGATGCTTAATGTAGATTTTACAGTGAAATATCAGGATAAAGACTTTATTGTACTATTAGCTTTATTTTCAAGAAATGAAATGTAGCTAACAGCTGTAGGCTACATAAGCATGACTCACAGAATGGCACCATATGCATATTATGGTTGCCAAGTGGCACCATAAAGTAGGATATTGAAAACAGCTCTGCCTAATCTCTCTGACCACAAGTATAGGTGGGGTTTTCCTCTATGGAAGCAGTTCCAAAGTGGCTGAGACATGGGATAATGTATGAAATCCTGGCAGGCTAGACGGCTGCAGGGCTTTGGGAACCTCCAAAAGAGCTGAGGTCAGCAGTGCTCCTTGGAATGATTTTCCCCAGGAGTTGTGCTTTGGTAGGACTATGAAGAAAATATCTCCTCAGCAGACTTGAAAGCTCTGGGTTGAGTTTTTTCTTCCCAATCTTCTTCCCTTCCTCCACCTATCAAGCAAGTTGACTGAGAAGGAGGCTGGCTGTTTAACCAGCTTCTAAGACTGGGTGCTGGGGTTGGGGGGAAGAAATTAGTCATCTCTGTAGCCCTAATAGCAAAGTTTAGCCTAAATCTGGTGCTTAGTAGAGCCTTACAGGGAGGGAGGGTTTGCTGTTGGCTGACTGTGCTGAGGTCTTGCTTTCTGCAGCTGTGAATGTGGGTGTCCTAGAAGACTATAAATTATTCACTAGGACTAGAGACAGTTTTCCACTTGGTCAAAATTATTGCTCAAGATTGGAAAATAATGCTTGTCCCTAATTTCTGGGGGTATTAAATGATGACATATTACTAGAATTAGACTTGAAAATTAGCAACAAATTAAAAGTATTATTTTGAGATTGGGAGAAGGCACCCCCAACCTGATGTGTCTCCTAGCCCTACCCATGTGTCTGCCTCCAACCAGAAATGCCCTTATTAGTAATCTATTTTCAGAAGTTACTTACTGTCTCTCTAAATTCTTATTTCTTGAATATAAATGTTCCTGGGAGTGGTAAGAAGTCTAAGTGAATGAGCTTATGAGCTAGATTTATTAGTCAGCTGCTAGATTTTCTGAAACAAGAAAATTGGCACTTCAGAAGGTACTAGGTAATTGAAAAGAGGGCAATGGGAGCAAAAAGGGAGGCCATGCAGGGTAATGGAAACTGACTTCACATACCCTGCTTACTTATTAACCAGAAGTGTTTAAGGCACATGTTCCATACCTAGCCAACAACTTATAACTATGAAAAATCCTGGGGTTAAATTTTCTTTCCTGACTTTAGAATACAACAATAATGCTGCATCTCTGTAAGTCAAAGATTGCAGAGTTGGTAGGAACTTACAATAAGATTTCCTGACTGTCTTGCCTGAGAGCTGGCTCTGATGAGAGATTCAATTCAATGGCTTCAGAATGAGCACATTTTTTTTTGTTGTTCTTTTCCAGAGAGACTTCTGAAGGATTTGTAATTATACTTGCCAAAGCCAGATAGTGATTTGTATGTCAAAAAAACCCAAGCAGAAACATATTTCATAATTGTGGATCAGCATTTACGACAAATAATAGCATGGGAAGCCACGATTTGGTAGATCATAACACGATTCCTCCAAAATGTGTTATACATGAAAAACCTGAGATAAGTCCTTTCTGATTGGTTTCTTCATGGAGCCAGCCAATTAGGCTTCAGTGCATATCAAGAGGAAGACTTCTTTCCTAACTTTTATTTTGAAATACTTTTAGACCCACAAGAAGTTATAAAAAATAGTATAGAGCATCCCCATATACCCTTCACCTGGATTTCCGCAGTGATAAAATCTTAAAAAACGGTAGTACATTATCAAAACCAGGAAACTGATATTGATATAATACTATTAACTAGGCTGTAGACCTTATTTAGATTCTGTCAGTTTTTACATGCACTCCTTTGTTTGTGTTTGTATGTATAATTCTATAAAATTTTATCATATGTGTATATTTGTGTAACCACAACCACAATCATGATTCATAAGTGTTCCGTCATCCACAACAACAAAAAATACATTTGTAGTACAACTTTACAACACAAATTCCTCCCATCCCTAACACTCTGGCAACTACTGATATTTCTCCATCTCTATAATTCTATAATTTTGAGGATGTTATACAAATGTAACCATTTCAGACTGTTTTTTTTCACTTAGGAAACAGTCCTTGAGACCTATACAAGTTATTGTATGTATCATTAGTTGCTTCATTTTCATTGCTAAATACTATTAGAATGTATGTATATACCACAGTAAGCTTATCCATTCATCCACCAAAGGGTATTTGGGTTGTTTACATCTTTAGAATATTACAAATAAAGCTTCTATGAAAATTCATATACAAGTTTTTGTGTGGACATGTCTTTAAAAATATCTTTATTGGAGTATAATTGCTTTACAGTGTCATGCTAGTTTCTGCTGTACAACAATGTGAAACAGCTATATGTATACATATATCCCCCTCCCTCTAGAGGCTATCTCCCACCTTCCCTATTCCACCCCTCTAGGTCAGCACAAAGCATCAAGCTGATCTCTCTGTGCTACACAGCAGCTTCCCACTAGCCATACATTTTACATTTGGTAGTGTATATATGTCAATGCTACTCTGTCACTTCATCCCAGCTTCCTCTTTCCCCCCTGTGTCTTCAAGTCCATTCTCTACATCTGCACCTTTATTCCTGCACTGCTACTAGGTTCATCAGTACTGTATTTTTAGATTCCATGTATGTGCGATAGCATCTGGTATTTGTTTTTCTCTTTCTGACTTACTTCACTCTGTATGACAGACTCTAGGTCCATCTACCTCATTACAAATAACTCAATTTCATTCCTTTTTATGGTTGAGTAATATTCCATTGTATATATATGTGGCACATCTTCTTTATCCGTTCATCTGTTGATGGACATTTAGGTTGCTTCCATGTCCTGGATATTGTAAATAATGCTGCAGTGAACATTGTGGTACATGCATCTTTTTGAATTATGGTTTTCTCAGGGTATATGCCGAGTAGTGGGATTGCTGGGTCATATGGTAATTCTAATTTTAGTTTTTTAATAAACCTCCATACTGTTCTCCATAGTGGCTGTATCAATTTATATTCCCACCAACAGTGCAGGAGGGTTCCCTTTTCTTGTGGACATGTTTTGATTTCTCTTCAATATTTACTTAAATACCAGAGTGGAATTTCTAGGTTATATAGTAAGTGCATGCTTAGTTTTGCAAAAAACTGTCAAAATGTTTTCCAGTTAGTTGTACCATTTACCATTTCTAACAGCAGCGCATTTGAGATCCAGTTCTTAATCCTAGTCAGTACTTGCTATTGTCAGCATTTTTTATTTTATAATTCTAATAGGTATATCATGATATCTCATTGGGACTCTAAATCACATTTTTCTAATGACTAGTGATGTTGAATATCTTTTCATGTGCTTTTCAGGATATTGGTTATTCATGTCCTTTGTCAATTTTTCTGGTTCTTAAATTGAAGTATAATTGACATACAATATTATGTTAGTTTCACGTATACAACATAGTGATTTGGTAATCAAATACATTACAAAATGATCACCACAATAACTAGTAACCATCTATAACCATACAGAATTATTAAAGTATTATTGATTATATTTATTATGCTATATATTATATCCCTGTGACTTATTTTATAACAGGAAGCTTGTACCTCTTAATGCCTATTTTGCCCAACCCCACATCCCCTCCCTTCTGGCAACCACCAATTTTTTCTCTGTATCTATATGTCTGTTTCTGTTTTGTTGTGTTTGTTCATTTGTTTTGTTTTTTAGAATCCGTATATAGCTGATATCATGTAGCACTTGTTTTCCTCTGTCTGACTTATTTCATTTAGCATAATATGCTCTAGGATGATCCAGGTGTCACATATGGGAGATTTCATTCTTTTTTATGGCTGAGTAAAATGTGATATATATATATATATATATATATATATATATATATATATATATATCAAATCTTACCTATTCATATATTTTTTATTTTAACATCTTTATTGGAGTATAATTGGTTTACAATGGTGTGTTAGTTTCTGCGCTATAACAAAGTGAATCAGCTATACATAAACACATATCCCCATATCTCCTCCCTCTTGAGTCTCCCTCCCACCCTCCCTATCCCACC